ATAAATTCAAAACATTGTATTGTCACTATGCTAATAACCTGTCAAGACAAGACAGACACAGTCACCACTACTGCTAATAAGTACTGCGGTCTTAGCTGTTTTGTTTTGAATGATAACAATAGTTGTATTTATTAAATGTGTTATGAATTATCTCTCTCTCAGCTCCTCAGACACCAAGACAAATCCTTTTAGCAACAATACAGTTACCCCCTCTGTCACTAAGACCAGGTACAGACTTTCTGTTAAAGCTTCTGATTACTTTGAGTTTACACTGTGAAATACTCAAAATCACAGCATAGGTTCAAAATACCGTACTAACTAACCTTTTGGGACAAACTCAGTCACTCCATTGTCACTAATATCAGGTACTTGAGGTCTCAGCTGTGGTGTTTCAATTATAACAATAGCTGTATATATTAACTATGTTATTTTTCTCTGTCAGCTCCTCAGACACCAAGACAAATCCCTTCAGCACAACCACGACACCAAGCACGGTCACTAAGACCAGGTACAGACTTACTACATGCATGTTTCTGTTTCTTTTCATTTAGTTTACTGGCATCCCCAATGTTTAATTACTGCTAAAGCCATGTTGTGCTGGCATTAATATAATTAAATCATGTGATAAGGGAAGTTTTTACAGTGGGTTTACACAATATGGATAGAATCTAAAGAAACCTTTTCTTTTCTTTTTACAAATGAATTTCCATGTTTTTGAGGACAGCTGTGGGTATGTCTGTGGTGCTGTTAGAACAGGACAGAAACTGTAGGCTATGACATACAAACAACCAAACAAAACTACCGCCTGCTTTCTGACTCACTTCATCCAAAGGGCAGTCCTTTCAACCTACTAACTGTACTGGGGTCAGCACATCCAGGAGCCTGGCCATTGTGGGTCTCTCTCTTACCATATGTTGACTGACCACATTCTGAACTCTTCCTCTCCCTCTGCCCCTCCTGTCTCTCTCTTGTAGCTCTGCAGACCCTGGCACACCCTTGGTAGATGTCTCTCCTCCAAAAGCCGCAGAGAAAAGGTAACATACCCCTGGTCCTTTGTTTATCTCCTCTAGCACAAAGATACAGACTCTCGTAATGGACAAGACAGGGGATCCTCTGGATAAACTGGCCGACAGTGTAATCCCAGTAAACTCCAAATCCGACAGGTATTGCAGAGAGGAAAGGAGGGAAAGCGAAGGAGTG